TGAAGGCCTGGACAGTGGAGTGCCCAGTTCCCTGGGGTTCCTGTTTTGCAGAGGTGGGGTAACAAATGTGGGCAGAGCTGGAACCCCTGGCTTGCCCACAAATACCCCAATGGTGAGCACAGGCACTAGCCCTGGCAAGGGTGGCTAGGAGAAGTCCCGTAAGTACACTTAGGTTTATGTGGGCAGGATGGGGGGGGGGAGTAAGGTGGCTTCACCAGCTCCCCATCCTAGATAGGCAGGAACTTTAGCTGTTTCCCTATCACTCCCCTGTTCCAGGACTTGTGATTCCTAGTTCAGGTGTACCCTGTAGTCTACCTGCAGACCACAATGTGTTTGAAAGCCATGGGAAATGTTTGCTTTGTGACTCTGTGGGAGTGGTTTCACGGCATAATCTCATTACTCAACCCAATACAGAGAGCTTTACAGTTCTTCTGTATCCCCCCAATATTCAGGCATGCCAAGTATTCCGGCTGGCTACATGGCTTTTCAGTCAATGGTCATCATAAGAATCATTCAACATCCTCAAGCTTGTTTTCCTCAGTACCAAATTAAGAAAAACTATAGAATTTTTTAAAATGCTGGTACATAGAGGCTTCTAACTTCTTTATCTCTTTTTTTCTTCTTCCTCTCTGCTTACTCCAAATCTGTTGATTTTTTTCACTTGGATTAAGATATTCTACTGTTGCTAAACTCAAAAGCCAATTAAAGTTTTTCTTTTTTTTCTTTTTTTTTTGGGGGGGGGGAAATTCAGTTTATTTAATGTGTTTCTTAGTAATGGAATCGTGGGGAAGAACAAAGAGGGCTCTGGGACTCACATTGCTTTGGGGAAGGCTCAGGCTTCCCAGAATCCCTTGTCCCTCCTCACTTTGGGCACTTAGGGGTGGGGCTGGGAAGTGAAAGGGACAAGGCAGGGCATGATTGATTAAAGCTAACAAGCAGACAGAAGGCACTGGCGGGTCATATCTCAGGCCAGGGAGAGGGAGGGCGTGGGCCAGGCCCCAGGTAACACCAGGGGCTCCTCGGCATCCAGGCTTGGCCTCTAGTCCTTTCCCTTCCCTTTCTTGGCTTTGGCCTTGGCTTTGGTCTTGGGGTTGCAGGGCTTGGTCACGCGGATGGTCTCCTGGCACTGGGCATTGTAGCGCGCCTTCTTCAGGGTGCCCTGGCGGACTTTGGTGCCGGTGCCCCCATCACACGCACCCCAGTTCTCAAACTTGTACTTGCAGTCGGCTCCAAACTCCTTCTTCCAGTTGCAGGGGATCCTGCACCGGATGCGCTGCGTCTGGGCCCCACAGCTGCCCTCGCGGAAGCCCACGCCGCAATCCAGGCCCACTCCTCCGCGCACTCTATCCCCGGGCCGTCTTTCTTCACCTTGTCTTTCTTTTTGGCCACCGCGGAGGTGAGCGCCAACAGAGCAAGGAGAGAGAGGAGGAGGAAGCCTCGGTGCTGCATCCTGGGGCGGCCGTGCACTCGCTCGCTGCTTGCGCTGCTTCGTTCCCTCCCGCGCCAGGCCTGTCTAAAGTTTTTCTTAAGGCATTTCAGCCAAGATCAGAAAAAAAAAGAGAGGGCTTTCAAATTATGACAGCTGTGTGGCAACCAAGAACCTATCATTGTACACCTGAATCATCCTTTTGGAAATATAAAATTAGGTTTGCCTCGCTAGCAATTGCTTAGGGTGATATAACAGCTAATAAAAGACTGATCATCTAAAAAGGAAAGAACTAGATAAATGTTTGTGAAAAGTTAAGCTCTTAGATTAAACAAGTCAAAATCTTGAATTCAGAGCAATAATATAAGTTATCCTGCCTGGCATAAAAGTTTTGCTTTGTCTGCCACGTATGAGCCAGAAAAAGGCAAGGGAGTGAGGAACTGAAAGTACCTTTTCCTAAAACATGTCCCCACCTAGGGTCACTAATCAAGCCAACCAGATGGGCAAACAAAAAGAAAAATTACTGCTAAAATTAAAGGCCACTTGAAGATTTTGGTCTTCTGATACAATTTAGCTATCTCTAGCTAAAATGCAAATATTTAAATATTTAACCCCTAAACTCATTTGAAACACAAAAAGGGAAGAGGTTTTTAAAAATAAACCTGCTACAGAAATTTCTTTACCAAAAATTTGGTATCCAGTCTTCATAAATTACCTATTGAGGCAAATAAAATGTAGCCACATGAATAGGTCCCATTTTGTCAGACACGTCATTTAAACCCAACTCTCCTTCTATAAACCAGTGCATTGTTTTTGAGCTCTTGTTATTTGCCTGCAGACTGGATTCAGTCCTGTAATCTCTTAATGTCCTCCAATATTGGCTATAACTCTCCAAAACCTGCTCTGTTCGTAAAGCCCTAAAACCGAAGTTGGACAACTTAATAACTTTCAAGGGATAAGTCTCATGCCTGATGTACGGGCTGCACAGAAAGTCCATTGAACCGCCTGATTCCATACCCAGTGACTTTCAAGCTGCAAATAAGGACAATAGATGGCTTTATGTAGTGAACAACGTTTTGCAAGATGATGGAACAAGATACCCCAACATAATGAGACTCTTGGCCCGGCGCGGTGGCTCACACTGGTAATCCCAGCACTTTGGGAGGCTGAGGTAGGCAGATCATGAGGTCAGGAGTTCTAGATCAGCCTGGCCAACATGGTGAAACCCTGAATCTACTAAAAATTACAAAACTTAGCCGGGTGTGGTGGCACATGCCTGTAATCCCAGCTACTCAGGAGGCTGAGGTAGGAGAATTGCTTGAACCTGGGAGGCAGAGGTTGCAGTGAGCCAATCCTGCCACTGCACTCCAGCCTGGGGGACAGAGTGAGACTCCGTCTTAAAAAACAAAAACAAAAAAAATGAGACTCTTGTTCCTCTTACTTTTTCCTTTCTTATGCCTATCTTTTTCTTTATAAGATAGCAGTGTAACCGAAATTTCACAATTAGTAGTTTCTGTTGGTAATTTGATAGAATCTAATTTCAGAGCTCCTTTAAGTCATAAATTTTTTAAAAATCTGTGCTATTGATAATACTACATATTGTATATGGATAAATTCCTCTGGGGTAGTTGAGACCTATATACATACAATTTTTTTTTAAAGTCATACAGTTATAACAGGTCTCACGTAAGTCCCATATCTTTTGATTTGTTTGCCCTTAAGGCTAGCCTCAAAGCTCAAAACCATTATGCAAACTAGGGTTATCATATTGCTATTAACTTTATTTTGCATTTTCCTTTTAGAATTTTGTACCTGTTCCTTATCAAATTTCTGCTGAAGTACTACTCCTAAAAGAACAATGCTGGCCCAGCACTTTGAGAGGATGGCTAAAAGACTCCAGGATAGATGAAACTGAACTTAACAAAGGACTCCAGGAAGGGTTATCTTGAGAGCAACTCCCTCCAGGCCTTCTTTGTTGTCCAAATATGGCTAAAAGGGTTTTGACGCCTAGTTGCCAATCACTCCCTCCAATGTGGGACCACACCAGTAACCCAGGACATGTCCATCTTGGTTAAAGGATGATCAGCAATGATTTCAGAGCGAGATCTTGATCAAAAGGGAGAAATGTGAAAGTTGTCAGAATAAAAATGAAGTCCCATGTCATTTTTTAAAACCCTGAATAATGAAGCCAGGGAAAAACATGAAGGGAAGGGAGGGTTCTCAGACATGGATTCCCAAATAAAAAAACTCTCACAAAAGACTGCAAAAATCACAATCTTGCACAAAGGCCATCACAATCTTACACACACACACAACTTCCGCAAGGACATCTGCCCAGCAACTGCTTGTCACAGACTGTAGCATGAGGTCAGAAGTTCAAGACCACCCTGGCCAAGACGTGAAACCTCATCTCTACTAAAAATATAAAAATTAGCCAGGCGTGGTGGCAGACTCATGTAATCCCAGCAACTAGGGAGGCTGAGGCAGGTGAATCACTTGAACTCGGAGGATGGAGGCTGTAGTGAGCTGAGATTGTGCCATTGCACTCCAGCCTGGGTGACAGAGTGAGACTCTGCCTTATAATAAATAAATAAATAAATGAACAACAAATCAGTACCAAGAATATCTAAGTATTCTTCCCAGAGAAAAATGTGCAAATAGCATGAATAAGCTTTTCATAAAAGAGAAAACAGACGTGGTCAAAACACTAATGAGATTCAATCACAAGACTATCATAAAATACAGTCTTATAGCCATTTAACTGGCAAAAATAAAAAATGTGCCAATACCAACTTGGTTAGAACATATGAATCTACAGGGTGGGAATATAATTGCTACTACTCTTTTGAAAAATAATTTGACCTTATCCTATAAGTTGAACATTCACATATTCTACCTCTGATCCCACTCTTAAGTATATACTCAAGAAAAACAATTGTAGATGTGTACTGGACACATGTATGACAATGTTCATATTAACATGTAGCCAAGCACACAAACCTTGATACAACCTGCCATCAAAAAGGATGTATGAATAAAATATTTAATATTCATGCAATGAAATACTACACAGCAGTAAAAGTGAATGGACTACAGCAACAGTAAGCAATATGGGCAAATATTAGCAATTTAACAGTATACAAACATAATTACTGAATTATTACATACAGCGTGATGTCCTTTCTATACATTAAAAGCAAACAAAATAAAGGCATTTTTACCATCACATAAGAAATGAGAACACACATGCACACAATTTAAAGTGATAATGATCTCAGTGGAAGGAGTGGGGGTGGGGTGATTATAGGATGAGACATGATAGAAGTTATTGTTAGAGTCCTAGGTTTGAAGCTGGGTAGTAAGCCCACTGGTGCTCGTGACATTATAAAAACAAACAAATAACAGAGGATGTGTGCGTCCATGTGGAGAAACGCAGCATAAACAACAGGCATAAATTCTAACTCTCACCTCGGCTGTGAATGAGGCAAAGATCTACAGCACATTTACTTGATCACAGACTGTCAAACAAAGACCTATTAGTGGCCATGGTGGGCTGTGACAACTCTAGTCTCACCTTGATGAGTCAGGTTAAAAAGGATATTGACACTTCTCTTCCTTAGGTAATTTTCAGCTATGAGTGTGAAGTTATAAGTTTCTTGTGAGTCTTGAGTTATCTGCCAATTACACCAGTTTTGGTGGGTACAAAGTTTCTTTTCCCCAGAAAATCTTTAGAAACAAAACAAAAGAACACAACAATTACCAGGTTTTTAATTCTGTCAAAGCAAGTGTCTCCCTTAACCCTTGGGGCTTTCTCAAACTATGTTCCCCATAATGGCACTGATGCACCGCCAACAAATACCAGGAATGAAAACATTGTTTCTACAAATCTGATATATGTGCTAAAATGTCTTAACAATGAATCACTGACACCCTGTGGGTGGCAAAAAGTCCCTTAATTTACTTGGAATATTCTTAAAAAGTCAGAAATTGGGTAGACCAGGTTATCAGAGCGGACAATTTTCATGTCAAGATATACCATTGACTGTCTTTCTTACCTTTTAATAAAGGAACTATGCTAAATGTTCCTTTATTAAAAACCTCAGGTAGAAAATATTAGACACTTGTGACCACTTAAAGGTTTCCTCTTGATCTTGGCAGATGGTTCTAAAATATTTGTTCCAATTTCCTGCAACATCTAAGTGTAGATTTTGCTATGTTGTTCACAAGCACCTCAAACAAGAAAGAACTTGTCAAGAATGTAACCAGAGCCAACTTACGATTCAAATAAAGTGTAGCTTTGGGAAGGTTGTTTAGACCACCCCAAGGCAGTGTCCACCCCAGGATCCCAAGTACAGTGCAAAGTCTTGAAGTCCCGGGTTTCACAAGAAAAGTCCTTGGGCTCCTCAAGTACTTCTGTCCATACAAAGGAAAACAGACCTAGTTAAACATTTTTATTGGAAGCTAAGCCAAATGGAAAGCTCTGTTTAGAGTCTGAAGCCATAGAGTTACTCTGAACAATGTACGGGTCACTGAGGTGGAAGCCTACTATCAACAGCCTCCCAAAGTCACTTTTCAGGGGCCCTTCTCCTTCCTGCCCTTCTCCTCATCTTGGCCCCTTCTCCTTCCTGCCCTTGTGATTTCTCAGATGTCATGGGTATGGGTGGTCAATATTTTGCGAGTGGTTGGTGCTGTGTCTGAGAAGGGTTGTATCCCCAGTCCCTGCCAGAGTTTCATTTTGGGTACTGTGGCTCACAGAAAGCCTCAGGGATGTGAGAAAATCAGTCAGATTTGTGAACCTGCTAAATCCAACAGGCAGGAACTGAGTGTTCAGGGAATAGTGAAGCACTTCTGAGTCCCCAGAGTTATTGCTTCTCTTAGTGACCATGCTAAGGGGACACAGAAGAAACAGGCATCCAGGCGACTGGAGACTTCCTTTGGCAAGGGAGGCAGGTAGGGAGATGTCCCCTACTGTGTAGGGGAAGGAGATGCTCAAAACAAAATATAGGAGGCCACTAGTTGTGCACACACAGACCTATACAAAAATCAAAATGTTCCCACTCCACTAATGTATCCAATGGAGCCAATTTACTGCACAGTTAAGAACAGTAATGGCCTCCATTTGCTGATCTCCAACTGCACACAGATATTACTGGGGCCAGATGCTACACACGTTCATTAATCCTCACAATCACCATCACTGTCCCCATTTTACAAAGGAGAAAACTGGCTCAGAGAGGCTAGGAATGTTGCCCAAGACGACACACCCAGCCAGGGAAAGAAGATTCAAATCCAGCTCTCCTGGGCCACAACCCCGGCTGACTCTGTGGTTGTCCAATCTGTAGCCCCTCCCCTTCCTCCATGATTCCGTAGTAATTTCAGCATGGCTGGAGAAAAAAAGGGTATTTTCCCAGTAGTCCAGGTCATGACCGGAAGTGTCTCTTCTTTAATACTACTGATTTCTAGGAATACAACTGTCAGTAAAAACAAGAAAACAACAGGAAATCCTAGAAATATTACTAAAGGACATCAATTTCAGAGCCTCTCTAGAAAACTTGGGAAGCAAAAGTAAATCAAGATCATGGGCAGAAATGTTTAACTTGTCTTCTAGTAAAGGAGATTTAATCTATTCCTCAGGAAATGAGAAGAAAGGGCCGCAGAGAATTTGCATACTTACTTGAGACAAAGAGAACGATGCCTTTTATGCTTGTAGAGACATTTCCTTGGCTCACCTCACAATACATATCTGCCCCTGTTTTCCTAATGAAAGGCACACTACTCAAGTGGAATACAGATACATGTGGATCAAGTTGTTCTCCATAAATCTGTTTCCCTTCCCAATAACAGGATACATTATTTTGAATGTTTCTAGAAATGTAGCAAATGGTGACATTGGCACCTTCTTCCACCAGTTTATCTTTAGGGAAAACAAACAGTATATCCTGTCCAAGAGAATCTTGTACTGCAAGACCAAAAAAGAAAAAAATAGTCGTTAGTGTCTCACTCAAAATTCAAGCCTCTTAAAACAAGTTGTCCATTTTCCCTCAGCAGATAACTTTAGTTTTTTCTACCTCCTGTAGAAAACAGCAACCTAAATGTATCTGCCAATCCTCTACCCTTTGGTGCATGCGAGACAATCCTTTCCAGCACTGCTCCTATTGTTACATGGCTACCACTGCTGTTGCAGTTACGGCCACAGACAGCACATCACTACTACCACTCTGAGTATTGCATGATTGCTACTGCTAGGTTGTTGTATCAGCAGCAGCTGCTCAAGTCCCAGCCCTGTGGGAGGCCATGTTAAGTGTTTATGTACATTATCTCAGGACATTCTTAGTACTTTATGACAACAGGTCAGGTAGGACGGAGCCAAAGTTTGCTCGGTTAGAAAGTGGCAAAACCACATTTAGATTGGCAAGGTCTACCTAGTTCCAAAATCCCTCATAATCTCTTAATTGTTCTGGAGATCATATCTCTCCCTAGCTTCTGAGAAATGCCCATCCCTCAAATGTGAGGGGTCTTTAAAAAGTTCATTTTTTTAAAGTTTATAAAAATCCAACCTTCAAGCGATTCTCAAACCTCAGCCTCCTGAATAGCTGGGACTACAGGCATGTGCCACCACCTGGCTGATTTTTGTATCTTTAGTAGAGATGGGGTTTTGCCATGTTGTGTAGGCTGGTCTTGAACTCCTGAGCTCAGGCAGTCTGCTCGCCTCAGCCTCCTAAAGTACTAGGATTACAGACGTTCACCACTGCACCCAGCTTCTTACTATCTTTTTAAAATCCTTTCTTTCCCTGTATATGTGTCCGTGTAATGGTTAGCACGTGACCTCTGGAGCCAGATTGTCTGGGTTAGAATTCCAGCCTCACCACTTAGTGGCGTGGTGACCTTGCATGGCTTCTTTAACCTTTCAGTGCTTGTTTCCTTACCTGTGAAGAGAGGATAAGAAGTCCTTTTACAGGACTGATATGAGAACTAAATATATATAGTACTTTAAAAAGTGACTAGGCCACAGGTTTAATTCAATTATTATTATCTCATTATTATTATTAGTTTAATGGGAGCAAAAGAAACTGACAAAACTCACTCTAAATTTTAATTACAACAAAATTAAATTATCAGTATTAAAGAATATTTAAAATATATTTATCCATAATCTCATTTTTCAAATAACACATCACTTTCATTTCTCCATATTTCCTCTGCCTCTAGATTGGGGGGTGCTACAACTTGAGCCCACTATCTATTGGGGTGTGTGTGTGTGTGTGTGTGTGTGTATGTCAGAACCTCACTCTGTGGCCCAGGCTGGAGTGTAATGGCGTGATCTAGGCTCACTGGAACCTCTGCCTTTTGGGTTCAAGTGATTCTCCTGCCTCAGCCTCCCAAGTACCTGGGACTACAGGCGCCCGTTGCCACACCCACCTAATTTTTGTATTTTTAGTAGAGACATTGTTTCACCATGTTTCCCAGGCTGGTCTTGGACTCCTGACCTCCAGTGATCTGCCCACTTTGGCCTGCCAAAGTGCTGGGATTACAGGCGTGAGCCTGGCCCTATTTTGTAAATAAAGTTCTATCAAAAAAGCCCTCTCATTGGTTTTCACACAATCTATGGCTGCTTTCACACTACAGTGGCAGAGCTGAATAGTCACAACTGAAATGGTATGCCCTGAAAAGGATACGATATCTCTGATCTTGTCCTTCACAGAAAAAGGTTCCCAACCTCTACTCTAGATGCATACACATTTTGTGTTGCTCAGAAACATACATATGTACAAGTTACGTCTTGCTTTGTTCACTTAGCATTTATAATATACACACTTGACACGTTTCGAAAACAAATACAAAATTGATTTGCACAACTGTCTCAATGAGTAAGTTCAGGAGCAAGACTTCAGACTGTATCTTCCAGTGCCAAGTTTCACACCTGTGGTTTTTAGTTCCCACAGGAGCCAAAGGAAAATAATGTCAGTGTCTACCCAGGGTTCCAAAAAGGAGAGTTCCACTATTCAACTACTGCTCTTCATTAAAAAAACATTAACCCTTTTCACTCTTTAACTACCTCACTTCTTACCACTGACTTCCTCCCATGAACTCCAGTTGCTCCAGAAATTTGGCTCAGGGAACCTGGCATCGTCCACCACACTCTTTATTCTTACAAAGTGTGTTGCACATTCCAAAGGGAGTTCGGATTCCCAGCTCCAATGCAAAACCTGGTTCCACTTCACAGTGGTGCTATAATTCCCCTAAAAGCAAAGAGAAAAAAAAATGGAAACATATAGCCATCTTGTCCTGTAAAATAGCTTGACTTATCCCAAAGCATAAATCTAAGATCCCATTGCAGGGCCACAATATGTACCAGGGAAGACCATTTTAGTCAATTCCCTGTGCTCTGATGCTTCGCATGGGAGTCAGCTATAATCTCCTGCCTTTTGAAAACTCAACTTCCAATCCCTATGGTCTTCCAATTCCAGGGGTCTCACGTGGAACATGCGGAAGAGAAACACAGAAGCTACTCAGGTCTTGGGGAACAGATCAGAGACAGAGTGTTCACTGTGCCAGTCCCAGAGAATGTAAGAAAGTTCTTGAAAAGTAGAGAATTAATTCAGTCATCCTTTCTTTAAAAAAAAAAATGATTGATTGTTTTACAAATATTCATCTTCGGCAAGGTTCAAATTAGGTTAGCCAATTCTCAGTCAAGAAAGCAGTTTTTCATGGCACAGCAGAAATTCCATTTTCTCTTGGAAGTCAACAGATGGCTCTCTAAGTCTCCCTTAGTTTCCTGTCTCTTGCGTTTTCAGATGTGGTGGCCACATGGACCACACCCCATCTCCTGGGCTCCACTTGTCAGACTCTTAAGCCCTGGAGATATCAATGACACATAATGTCTTACACTGTTCTGTAGGAAGCTTGTCTAAGTTGAACTGCCTTTTGGGCTTCTGGCACAGCCTTTAGCCTTCATCTTTCTGAGATGCTGGTATTTCCATTCACTAATTCCACTGGCCTCAGTGGTTCCTTTGCACCTTACCCTGTTACACAAGGCCTGCTATATAATCTGGCTCCAACGCACCAGTCCCTTGCAGGAACCACCTCTTCAAACATGGCTCCTCCCCCACACTTCTGCAACTGCCTTATGTTTTCACACCTCTTTGCTCAGGCCTTGTCTTTGGTTTGCTGTCTTCCACTCCCTGCTGAATTGGGATCTGTCCCATTCTTCAAGCCCAGGTCATGCCCCATCTCCTTCATGAAGCCTTTCTTGCTCTTTCTTCCGCATTCCTCTCGTCTCCACCCCTCCTGAGGCCCTCCTGTATACTGTGGCTAGTTGTTGGTGGATCAGCTGTGACTCCAGCAGGAACCGTGCTCTCCTCTTCTTCATGTCCCTCATAGCTCCAGCCACATCTTCTTCTCAGAATGCCTCCTCAAAGACCTGTTTTCTGCCCCACAGCTGCCAGGTGGAGACAACACACATGTGACACTTCCTGGGGGAACTGAGTTCAAGCCTGCATCCGTGTTTCTAAGTGCGAATACTAAGGCCTCAGTGAAGGGAGTGGGACAAGTCACATGTCACACACTGCTTGGAGTTAGCAACTCAGAGGCCTTCTTCTATTTATGTCTGCCCCCTGTTCAGGTGGCTAACTGGAAACAGTGTCCCTGACAAAACTAAACCCAGCCCTGGGCTGAGAACATCCCAGTCCACTCGGTGGGCATTTAATTGTCGGCTTCCTTTTTCACTCTACGCAGACTGGGATTTTTTTAATGTTTATATTTTATTTCCATTTACTGCATTACTTTATTCCTAGATCACAAAATATGTTCTTTTAACAAGTTGTGAGGTCCTGATCCATGAAACTCTCACTACTTAACGTGAGCAATATCAAGTACATTTTACTTAAATATTTTTAAAATTTAAGAGCAAATAACCCCTCCCTTCCCCCCACGGCCCCTGCTAGAAGGAAGTACATCCATAATGGCAACCTCACTATAATGTCAACAAGTCACAGACTGAATTTTACCTCCCACTTCTCCTTGAAATGCAGCGCTTCTCTCAGCTGCATCTCTGCTTTGGCTGGACCCCACAGCTCACTTCCTGCTGGCCACACCTCCCTTTCCCCAGTTCCCACCACACTCTGCTTTGCAGCTATTCAAATCAGATCTTGCCACTTCCTTTGTTCTTATTGCCCTCGGGATAAAACAAAAAAGAAAACAAAACCTGAGCATGCTCCCACGGTCCTGTGCATCTAGGCCTGTGCCACCATCCCCATGTGCTCAGGGATCCAGCACCACAGCCAGCTTTCAGGCCTGGAAATTCTCCACCCGCTCTTTCAGGGCCTCTGCTTATGCCTGTTGGGTCTGCTCAGAGCACTCTTTTCTACTTTGCTTGCTACATTAACTTCAATCCTCTTGGATATTTGGTCTCAAACAGCCCTTTATCCAGACTGTAGGAGAAGATGAGGCCTAATCCCAACCTCACAGCATCTTATCAGTGACCTGTACACACAGCCCACATGCAGAATACCCTATTTGTGTGTTTACTTCCTCATTCTTTCCAGCGTGCTCAGTGCTGATATTCCCACACTATGCACAATGCCTGACCTGGGCCTACTGTCTACAACTCTGGACTGAATGATTTCATCATTTCATTAACATGCAATGAGCTGTGCTTCCCCCAGACACTATTTATGTGTGGATTCTGTTTAATCTCAACTTCTCCTTTGTGGTCTTTACAGACCTTGTTAATGTAGGAGATAAAACTTTTCCTTAAATACAGCAATTCAGTGATTTTTTTTTCTTTAAAAATGATAAATTGTCTTTGGGTCATTTTATTCATTGAAGCGGCAAGTTTAATTTGACCCTTGCAGACATCAGTAAATCACAAGAAATTGGCACATACATTCACACAGAAGTCTAACTGAGGACACTGATTTGTTACTGAGACGTTTGACTCCCACACCTGGCCTCCTTCCAAGCTTGAGCTCTTACCCTACTTTGCCTTCCTATGCCACTGACAATATCATAAAGCAAAGGGAAGGGGAGGGACATGACTCAGGGCAGGACCATGCAGTTCAGGGTTCCAAATGGCAAATACCATCCAGGAGACAGCTCAGTGCCTCTGGCCCAGCTGCAAGTAACTGGGTCAAGGTGCTCTTCCTTTGGCTTGTTTGGGAACAGAGATGTCTGAGACCCTGAGTCCAGAAGCTCCCCACTATTCCCCAGCATGAATGAGAGTACCCGTCAGGCCTGCACTACAGGGAGCTTCCCTGTGTAAGGGAGATTTTAGTCTAAACAGAAGCAGCATCCTCCTCCTTAACAGGAGGAGGATCTTATATTTCTCCTCAACTTCAGGCATGAGTGATTCAGACAAGTGCTTCTCAAGGTATCATCTATTCCATAGAACATGTGCCCACCAATGGCCTGGGGGCTGCATGTGACTGTCATCCCTGTCTGGCCACAGGGGTGAAGGATGATCCCACCTTGCCTCTGTCACTTGGAGCAACACAACAAACCTCTCTGTGGTGTAGTTTATTCTCTGTTGTGGTCAGGCTGGGTTGGGTGTTGTGAGGGTGACACGATAGACTAAGCAAAACTCTACCCCGAAGGATCTTGAACCCTAGGTTACAGAAATAGTCTACACTAGCTGCTTTCTCTTGCAAAGAGGACTATTCAGAGAATCCAATATGAAGCAGATTTGAACAACTGCTTTTTAGGAAAATAAAGAAAAAGATCCACTTGGTCTATGGCTAATGATGTGTTCTCTAACATAATGATAGATATGAGTTGTCCTTTGGAAAAATAAAGAATGGGATCCATGTAGTCTACAGTTAATGTTATTTTTGCTAATGGTGCTCAGTGCTAGTTTTCCACAATTCCTCCAGCACTTCCACCTCGATTTTTCTTTTTGTAGCTAATTATTAGTCACAATATGACCTTTGCTTCAATGTTTTACTGAGCCCAAATTACCGAGTATACCCATTAAAAATACAAAAATCAAAATCACTAGTAGGGATGGTGGGAAGATGTGCTGATAAGCAGGGAGTAAATGGCTACACCTAAGTATCGCTGTTGTTGAAAATCATCATACTACTCAAGTCTCATTGCAGAAAACTGCCCTTTGAAAGGTAGAATTATAGACTTGGTATGAATCCTAAATGGACAGAGTTGAAACTTTATTTAACTTGCTCAGATCTCAAATTGCAATAGTGAATATGGAAAGTAACTGAGAATTTTAAAACTGGTGACTTTTATGCTTTACCAAAGGAGCTAACCATGCTGTATCTGTGTACCCAAAGCCTCCACTGCCTGGGGGAAGAGTGGACCTGGCTGAGCTGACAGAGGGCCTGAGCACAGTCCTAGGCTTCTCTTATCTGTAGGAAAGTTTTCAGTTTCTTTCAATGAGAAAACATTCCTCTGTCCTTAAACATCCCATGAAAATGGCTGGACATTATGTGCATATAGATTACTAGAGTGCCCAGATGAGAAATGGAAATCATAAACCACTAATGTGTCCCAGTGTACTAGATGGGGACACCTCAGCAAAACAGACCCAACAACCATCTGAACTAAGATAAGTGAAAAATCCATCCCAAAGAATTCAAAAACAAAAAGAGTATGAAATTCAGTATTTTCTTAATTTAATTTGTTGTAGAAAAAGCCACATGTGAGGCAACAAAAGAAACAGGAAGTTACTCTCCAACATGGATCCTTGTTGACTAGAACATTAAGGGCTAGTGCTTACTCTTCCTTGCATTTCAGCAGGGTATAGGCCAGGAAACTGTCAGGAAATTACATTCGAAAGAAAAATGTTGCCAAATTATTACATCTTATTTAGGAAAATCTCTGGGGGGACAGAGAAGAAAGAGGTAGGAGGAATGAAATGGTTAATATTCGTGGATCTCTGGAATCCAGTGTTCATGAGGACAGACTCAATAGTCTTCTTAAGAGACAGAGCAAAACAGAGAAAATAATCTATTCTCTTAATGCATCCCATCCTATCTACCGAACCAAAGTTGTCATGTTACTTTGTCCTGGATCCTTAACTGAAAACACAGAAATGTAATTGTTTAGAAAAACTGTTTTGAGCTGCTAATATGTTTCTAAAATGAGATTTTTTTCAGATGTTATAAAAGACAAACCATGGTGTCTGTTTTTAAAGATGATTTTTAAAATATTGAGCCAAAAAATTACTTACCACCCAGATGACATTGGATGTTTCAATTCTACTGATCTGGATCTGAAATACCATTTTCAATTCCTGATGATATGGAAGGTTTTGGACAGTCCATTGTAAATGCAAACTCTGGCGTGCAGAATTGGTGGAAACTTTAAGTGATACAGGAGTCAATGGTACACGTTCAGCCAAGACTGAAAAGACCAAAATGAGGTATGAAATAATGCTTAATAGGAGCATGACTGGAGACAGGGACAATTGAACTTCAGTATCATCATTACTCAGCTCTGGAAAACATTGCTCATATGTGCATCCTGGAATCAAACACCTTGGAAAACTGGAAGATAATTTAGAAATTACTTAGCAGACACAGAAATTAAGACCTAGATGAACGAAGTGATCTGCTCAATAATATTTAGCTAGCTCATACATTGATAAACGGGTACACAAAACAGAAAGATCCTTTACTAGACAATCTTACTGGTTTGGAAATTTATGAGAAGGCTGAAAAAAAGAAAGAGCTTTTTCGATAGAAATGTTGTATTTCTGGAAATCAGAAATAAAAGTTTCCTTTTTTGAAAGTCGGTATTTTGTAGTTTAGTAGAAGACTACAATGTGGGAGCGTATCTTATCTGTAGACATTGCCATTTGTATCTCAATGTATTTAACTTAAAAGATAAAGACTAGCAAGAATTAACTGAACTCTCTGGATGAGAACAGCAGCACACCAGTCATTTGATGTGAAACAAAATAATTGTGACAAAGTTCCAAGCTCAAAGAAGGAAGCTAGTTTGAGAGATATGATGAACTCATATGAAATAATCAGATTGAAATTTTATACTGGTTAGTAGTATGACACGGTCTGTAAAAGAATAAGGAATTCAAACATGAATCAGATTTGCTGAAGTTGGTGGCCTTGGGAAGCTGCAGCCCGTCTCTTCGGCTGACTGTATAAACCATCAGTGGCGCCACTGCAAATGGCTTGCACACAGAGGTTTATGCAGATCTATCTGGCACTAGAGAGAGAATGGGTCCTAAGTGAGTTAAGTCACTGCTGGTTCTTACAGAAGAACAAATCATGACTTTCCACTTAAGAGGAGCAAAACACCATATAGACTGAAAAAGAATTGTGTATTGCTGATTCAACTATTTCAACTGTGAGGGTATTAGAAGTAAACTGGGAGTGGTACAAAGGTATTGAAAAGATAAAGCCTGCATCGATAAAATCAGCTGCTATGTGATGACCCACGGCATAAGAGATTTCATTTTTTAAGCATTCATTTTTCTAGTTTCAGGGGGATTTCCCCTCATCATTTGAACCCTTCCAATATTAAATGGTAAGAGGCTATCTCGTTTTGACAACAAAAAATGGAAACAATCTCCAATACTGAAAAAATGTCCCCAAATTGCCATTCTGCACTTGCTATTTTTCTCATAGTGAAGTAAAACACACAATGATATTGAGCACATGTTATTTACCAGGCACAGTGCTAGGGCCTTTACTTACATTGTCTCATGCAATGCCTACTATAAAACTGCAAGATAGCAAGTTTTTAGTTAAGGAAATTCAAGCTCAATTAGGGTAAATAATGTATACAAAGCGATGTGAAATTAAATAGGAATATCTCTAATACCAACACCTGTGTCCCCTTTACTGTCCTCCAGCTGTTAAGACAGGAGCACTGGCCCAGTCCAAGTTTGCATGGAATGTAATGTCTGAGAAGTATTTTGCATGGCGCCAACAACTAAGTCCTGCCAAGGTCAGGACACAGGCAACAGGATGGGGCTCTGTATGGAGCCAGATAAACTGAGGAGCATCCCTGATGGATACAAAACAAACATGATGTTTTCCCTGTGATTGGTCCACATGGTAGAAAGCTTCAGATTCAAATGAGGCACAACCTCAGAAATTGGAGAAACACCTCAGAAAACTCACTCTATGAAAGTGAGATGAAGAATGCCCAGAAAAGAAAAGAGACCCACAATAGCTACCTTCTCAGAAAGTTACCTTGGGATATTTTGTAAATGTTATGCTGGGAAGGGTGAGAGTGATAACTATAATTTCAAGGTGAATTCCATGACCATGAGTTTAGCAGTGGGTCCTTAGATCTGAATCTAAAAGCGTGAGCAACAACAACAACGAGACATAGAACTTCCACAGAATAAATTGTGTGCATCAAATAACAATATCAAAAAAGTGAAAAGACAACCTACAGAATGTGAGAAAATATCTACAAATTACATATCTGATAAGGTTCTGGTATTCGTTCTACATAAAGAGCTCTTATAAGCCAGCAACAAAAAGACAAAGAATTCAATTTAAAAATGGGCAAGAGAGTCTGGGCAACATGGAAAAACCCTGTCGCTACCAAAAAAATACAAAAATTAGCCAGGTGTCATGGCACAGGTAGTCTCAGCTACTCAAGAGGCTGAAGTGAGAGGATGGCTTGAGCCTGGGAGACAGAGGCTGCTGTGAACCTTGATCGTGTCACTGCACTCCACCTGGGCAATAGAGTGAGACCCTGTCACAATAAAATAAAATAAGGCAAAAGACTTGAATGAACATTTCTCCAAAAAAGATATACAAATAGCTAACAAGCACATGAAAAGATGTTCAATATCATTAGTCACTAAGGAAATGCAGGTCAAAATCACAAAGAGGTACCATTTTACCTCCATGAAGATGGCTATAGTAATTTTTAAAATGGAAATAACAAGTGTTGGTTTTATACACACACACACACACACACACACACACACAGAATTACCATATAACTTGGCAATTGCATTTGTAGGTATATAACCCAAAGAATTGAAAGCAGGAATTGAAACAAATAATTGTCTAGAAATTTATAGCAGCATTATTCATAACAGCCAAGAGGTGGAAACAACTTTCATCAGTGGATGACCAGATGAACAAACTGTGGTATATACATGCGAAGGACTGTTAGTCATAACAAATTGAATACTGCTACATGCTACAATTAGATTAACCTCACAAACATCATGCTAAGTGAAAGAAGCCAGATACAAAAGGTTTTATACTGTGATTCCATTTGTATGAAATAGCCAGAACAGTAAGTTCCATGGAGACAGAAAGTAGATTGGCAGCTGCCAGGGGCCGAGAGAGAGGGGAATCAAGACTAACTGCTTAAGCAGTGGTTTCCTTTTAGGGGGATGAAAATGTTTTGGAACTGAATGGGGTGATGGTTGCACAACACTGTGAATGCACTAATATTGCTAATTTACTCACCAAATGAGTAACATCAATCAATGTCACTAATTACTCATGATAGAAATGCTCATGTAACACAGAAATTGAATTCCCACAATCCTACCAACTCTACTTTTACTCTATTGCCAAGTTTAAATCATATATATTTTCCTTGGATTTTCTCATACACTTTAAAAAAATATATTGAAATATGTACCCCATCTTATGGTTTTTAAAGGACATGTTATTTTTTAAACCAATAAAGGGAAGTAAAAAGAAAATGTTAACAGTCATTATAACAGTAATTATTTCTGGATGACGAGGTTGGGTGATTTTAATTTTCTTCTTTATACTTTTCAGTATTTTGTAAATGTTCTTTGGAAACATATATTAGTTTGAGAATCACATAATAAGTTATATTTTAAAAGAAATGTTTCTTTAAGATATCTGATTCACTCCACTATAATGATACTTCAGAATATGCAATTCCTCCTTAGTTTTCCTATCTTTCAAGCACCGATTGCAACATGCTGTAAGAGTCTGTCTCTGTGTCTGTCTCCCTGTAGACTGTGAGTGAAACAAGGTTGGGACTCAGCCTTACTCAGCTCAGAGAAACCAAGACTAAGAACATACCAGTTATGGGACAGACATTCAGTGATTGGTGGCTGAATGAATGAGTCAACTACCAGTCTAAACTTTACTTCTGGAAGCTCCAGGCAAAAGAAGAACACCTTATATTAACATATGCTATTAGTGAGTGCTGAATGACTCAGGTGCTCAAGTGACATCAGTCAAAAATAACCTGTTAAAAGCAATCTAGGACTTCCTTGGGAAATAGTGGGAAGTACCAAGGCTAAATCAGGAAGATCAAAGAACCAGAAAGATTCTTAAATCCAATCCCATTATTTTTCAGATGAGGAAATTGAGGTTAAAAAATGGGAAGTGACTTTGCCACAGCTGCACAATCAGACCAGAACCTAAGGCTCCTGGGTCTCTGTCCAGCTCTCTTTTTATAACACTGGAGTGTGGCCAAGAAGGCCAGGTTTGGGAATCAAACAGACCAGGATTTAATCACATACTCTCCTCCCAGTTTCCCCACCCTGTTTCTCTAACCATCCATAAAACTACTCAAGGAAATAAACCATTGTCCAGTCATAAGCAGGAATATCATGCAGCAATTAAAAGTAATGTTGTTTCTAGAAGAACATTTAATATCAAAGAATAACACTCACCATATGTTATAGTAATTAAGTAATAAAGAAATCCTGAGTATATATCTATTATAATCTTACTTTTATTTAAAAATACACTATATATTTATCTATCTCTATTTACATGCACATATACACAGCAGATGGAGGAAAATACATCAAAATGCTGCAGTCATAGTCTCTGGCTGATGGAAACAGGTACCTGGGGTTAACTGAAGAAAGTCTTGGCTCTTCCTTGTTGATTAGAGAAATTAAACCAGGTTATTTGGAATAAATCCCCAGATCTGAATCTGGCTGGGTGATTAAGTGGTAAGCAAACTAGTTTGAGTAGGAGATTAGTAAGTACTTGGTTAAATGCAGCAGAAATTGAGACAAGAAATCCAAACAGTACAGGTCAGGGCAAAGGCAGGATTAATTATCAAAGAAGGCATGCTTGACAGAGAAAGCTGGAAGCAGAAGTGAAGACTGGTTCATAGACAAACAGGGAAAGCATGTCTGATCTAAACAAAAGAAGCTGAAAGAGTGAGCAGCAGAGCTGAGAGCAGAGTGCCTTGTACATAGAAGGCACATAGGAAATATCACCGGATCCGAAAATGAACTTCACTAGAGAAATGAGCTGGGCTGAAAGCTTGGAGTTAGATGCCGGGGACTTCCTGGAGACCCCATGTAACTGAGTCCCCACATTTTTCTAAGAAAAAGAAAATGAGTTACTATTTTTATTGTTATTTTCTCTTTTCTCCATTTTCCTCTGTTCCCCACTTCCTACTTAGCCTTTTGGAAATGCAATTATAACCTTTTACCACCCCTTCACCAGACACTCGCTACAAGATGAGCTCATCTATTAATAATGACATGCTTAGAAGCTCCAGAGAGGAACTGTTACCCGCCAGGAGACTGCCTTAAGAGATAACAGTTGATTTATAACCCAAAGTATGCCCACTGCGAAACTCTCAAGGTGGAGAATTTTCAGCCACTTTATAGCCTATTTCTGCCCATGAAGATGCCAGCTCAACTGACCAGTAGATAAGGCACCAAAGTGAGTGTGCAGACACCTACCTGCTCACTTCTGCTACTGCCTAGGCCCCCTGCTTTAAAAGTGCCCACTTTCTGCTTCAAAAGCAAAGCAGTACTCTTAAGGAGGAAAGCCTGTACTTATTACCCTAAGTCAGCTTTGGAATAAAAAGTCAGTTTCTTTATACCAGACCTTGCTAATTTTAACTGGACTCTGCGAGCCTCAAGCAACTGAACCTGCATTTCGGTTACACCCAGAGATGGGGCAGTGGGTCTGTTTGAAAATCATTCTTACTGTATGGTTTGATCACTCAGTCTGATTACACTGTGCTTACATTTTAGCAAATAAGACAGAAGGAGCAAGAGGTACACATACTACAAATGAGAAATCCCAATTCCCACCTTTCAGCCCCAGATTATAAGAGACTAACACCAAACTATGGTTTTTAAGATGCCAAAAGAAGCAGCATAGCAATGTCTTCCCATGTGCCCTGGACCTAAAATAAATCCAGATGAAAGGAATGTCAGACAGAGAACTGAGAAATTATCAGAACAATGTTTCCTTCTTTTTTCAAATATCTTTTCATGGAGTTTCTAGGAAGATGAGAAATTCTATGCATATTCCCTGCAAAAATCATTTTCATGAATTTGTGGACAGGAATTGCATAAATAACTACTAGGAGCAAACACTTGTACTCTTCTTTAAAAAGCTCCAGAGCACAGCAAAGAATAAATATAGAAAGAGGAAAATGTAAAACTTTGTAAAATACACAGGAAAGGTACAAAAAATTATGGAACCAGTAGAAACTCTCTCAACTCTCAGATCTACTTCTAAACAAGTTCAAGGTAATAAAGTATCAGTAAACGTTTTAGAGGTATTAAATTCTTATTGACTTTATTTATAAAGTTGATTTATCTCAAAATACCTTCCCTTGGGGAGTAGCTGAATGACACAATATTATTTTTCTATAAACATTTCAGCATTTAACATACTGTCTTGCAGAGACTTGAAAGAGTTTCTTCATATTTTCATTGCTTTTACTCATATTTTACAAAGCTAACAGCTTCACAATGAATGTAGCTGAAGGACACAAAGACTTGTGCTAACCTAGTGGTCAGTACTGGTGTGGTATATCCCATGTCTTTCCGCAGAAGGAACTACTTCAATGATGGTCTGGTAAAATATATTAATCATGAAATTCTATGGAATTAGGTCCATTTACAATTGCCCCTAATGAGCAGTACATTGACTGGAAAGTCAAGGCCAAGGGTGGTTTATTGAGATGAGCCATCGAAATGAGAGAGGCCAAGACTAAAACGACCACTACTCTGAGAGACTGACAAATCTCCTCATGGGAGATACTCATGAACTCTAAGTAATTCCCAAAGGAAAAAGGAAAACTTTTTTCCAAAGCATCAATGACCTCATTTGTTCCCGATATGATTTTTGTCTTTACTGTTCTTTCTACTTCTTACCTTCACTCTGGTAAGTCCTCAAGGACAGCAATGTTAAGAAGAACGTTGTCTGAAAGACTTCAAATAGAGCCATCAGCTCTGCTTTTCTGAAAAAGATAAATTATAAAGAAGGAAAATTTTATTTAATTTTTTTCTCCTGGCAGGTTTCTTTGAGCCAACTGTGGTAGATGAGGCAATAAGGCCCCCATACTTCTCCCTTCCCTGTATCCATGTCTCCTGTCATGTGACTTTGGAGGTTCCCCAAAATAGGAAGAGTATCTTTCCTTGCCCCATGGGACCTTCTTGGGTCCATAAATAAGGCACAAGTGATAGTGTGCCAGGTAGAATGGTGTGCCAGTTTCTACCTGCTCTTTTGTGTTTCTACCTGTGACATGAAAAGAACAGTTGTGGGCTATCCTACTATATTAGTCTGTTTTCATGCTGCTGATAAAGACATACCTGAGACTAGGAAGAAAAAGAGGTTTAATTGGACTTACAGTTCCCCAAGGCTGGGGAGCTTCAGAATCATGGCAGGAGGTGAAAGGTGGTGGCAAGGGAAAATGAGGAAGAAGCCAAAGTAGAAACCCTTGATAAACCCATCAGATCTCATTAAACTTATTAACTATGAATAGAATAGCACAGGAAAGACCAGCCCCCATGATTCAATTACTTCCCCCTGGGTCCCTCTCACAACATGTGGGAATTCTGGGAGATATAATTCAAGTTGAGATTTGGATGGGGCCACAGCCAAACCATATCACCTAATGGAACCAGAAGGAGAATGAGCAACACATGAAACAGAGAGAGCCACCTCAGGTGCTCCAGCTGAGACCAGCCTAGATCAGCCAGCAGCCAGCTAACACCAGACAAGAGCAGCTGACCCCAGGTGAAAGAGAAATAAATGCTTATTGCTGTGTGCCACTGATGCTTGGTGGCAATGGATAACTGATCAACCAATTCATTCAGTCCAAGCAAAGATTGGTATAAAGAAAGGTCAAACAGAGAAACATGAGTTAAATATGGACAACGAACAAATACAATCGTTTCACAAAAGCTAAATTTAAATTAATTACTTGGAGGTGAGAGCATCTCCATTCTTTCCTATCTCCCTTATTAAAACTTAACCTAGGAAAAGTTAGTATATCCTCCCAAGAGACAGTCAGTTTTTCATTATTCCAAATAATTCCCGGTTATCCTTTTCTTAGAAAAGAATTGTAAAGAGCCAAAGAGCTTCAGTGATTCATCAGGTACTTTGATCAGGGGAAAATCTGAGGACATCAAGAATAAGGCTAGATGACCTCAAAAAGGCTAATATGTTCCTAATTTAATAACAAATGTATTAGTCAGGGGAAGCACTGGATTTCACTTTTCTGCTTAAAACTCTGACTCAGCAGAGGGCAACAATGAAGCAATTAATTCAAAACAATTTTTGCCTCTGTCCAGCCACTTTTGATTTTATCACTTTTGATTATCTGGTATTCAGTAAACCAGATAATCAACTGTTACTGCCTATGTCCTCTATTTTTTTTAAAATAATATTTTACAGGTAAATGGGAACAATAGTGAAGACAAGAAGAGGGTAAACCACATCATCAAATTATTCTAGGATGGTCAGACCTGTCTATAGGTGAGCCCAATTGCAAACAGAAACAGAAGACTGCAAAGAACAGTTCCTATTCCTATTCCTTTAAGCACCTCTTTCTTCTACTTTCTATTTTTGGCAAAAAGTCATTCATACTTCTCCAAAATCTCTACTTAAAACTTCAGTAGAATACATTGAGGGAGCAGCTTCAAGATGGCTGGCTAGAGGCACCTGACACTCACCTCTTCTAAAAAGGACTAGTACAGTGAGTAGATAATCGCATGTTGAACACAGCGTCTAAGAGAGACCACTGGAATTCAGCAGGGAAGTGACAGAAAACCCCTGAGAAGGAGAGGGAGGTAAAGCAGATGACCCAGCCAGGATTGGCTCAGGGCCAGAAGAAACTCCCCAGTGCCAGGAAAAGTTAAGTGAGAGATCCCCAGTGGTTCATATTCCTATTGTGAGCTCCCGTAATCCTAGCCACAAGACAGCCTCCCTACCCTTGCCAGGCCTGAGATTAGTATAGGGAGCTGTCTGGAGTCTGTGTGATGTCATTGCTCCAGAGAGGTAGTTTGTGTGGGGTCCCCGCCCCTTCCCTCTCAGCAGCACAGTACCATGTCGAGATCTCAGCCCCCATTACACTACATCCTGTGCTGGGGCCAACAGACCCTGCTCTCCACATTTCTGCAGCCCTGATGACATCACCCAATATCCACTCAGAGGGCAGTGGTGTTGTAGTGCACTCTAGCTCACTCAGTCTACACTCTGGGGAACAACTGGTGAAGCACACTGGGGAAGCTGCCCCCAGAACAAAAGAAGCCAAAGCACATGCTCCCAAAAGCCTGAGAGTTCCCTACTTCGAGTCACTGTCACTAATAGCAACCCTACCTTCCCCCCACCTCCAGCATCAGGGCTACCACCCACCTGCATGTACTTTAGAGGGCCTGGGGATCAGTCCACCCCACCAACCCCACTGTTACTGCCTGAGCACACTGTCCAGGGCCCTGGGCACCAACTTGCCCCACCTACCACAGCTAGCCTTCATGCACACCATTGGGAGGACTGAGGACAGGCTTACCACACCCAGCATCAACATCACCAGTGCCTGCACACATGAACCAGGGGCCTGGGAATTGATCTGCCTTGCCCACCCACTCTGGCAGCCAATGACACTTTCTGGAGTGCTGAGGACAGGCCCACCCAGCCTACTGGTGCCCACATACATCATCTAGGAGCCTGGTGATAAATTAATGTGCTCAGTCTACCAACATCAGAATCTGCACCTGCCTCCTGGAAGCCTGAGTGTAGCCTGCCTACCCTGCCTTCATCACTGCCACCAGAACCCACCTGCATACACTACCTGGGGTCTGGGGACTGGCCTGCACAGTCCACCACAGCCACCACTAGCACTCATGTGTGTGCCAGGGGTCCTGACGGCTGACCCGCCACAACTACCATTACCAACACCACACATGCTTCCCAAAGGCCAGAAGATCTGTCTGCCTGCCTGGCCTACCACTGCCACTAGTGGCACCCAAGCAAGCTACATGGAGGCCCAAGGATTGGTCCATGCAGACCCACTACCACTGGTGCTTGTGTACATCCGGTGGGCATGTGGGGGCCCAAGGACTGACCACTAGGCCTGGTGCCACCACCAGCACTGGGGCTCAACAACCAGCCTGCCTAGTGTCCCCATCCTTAACAAAGTCTTACCACAGCTTCTACTAACAACAGCAGCCTAAGCAACCAAGACACCACTGATACTGATTACAGCCAAATATATCATACAGAGACTACACTACTGTGTCTAGCCAGAATCAAACCTAAGCACTCTCTCTACCCAACCAACATTATCAATATAGCTATAGGAAAAAATATTTCCTTATGAAAGCAAATCCATAAAATTACAAACAGCAACTCTTTCACCAGATGCTCAGATAGCAATGTAAGGACACAATACACATGAAAATGCAAAGAAACGTGATACCTCCAAAGGAACATAATAATTCTCCAGCAACAGATTCCAATGAAAAAGAAATCTATGAATTGTCTGAAAAAGAATTCAAAGTAATGATATTAAAGAAACTCAGAGAGATACAATAGAACAATAAACAATTTAAATAAATCAGGACAATTCATATCTGAATGAGAAATTCAACAAAACAGGTATCATTAAAAGGAACTGAACAGAAATCCTGTACCTGAATAATTCAATAATTGAAATAAAAAATACAATCAAGGGCTTCAACAACAGACTAGAGAGAATTTCTGAACTTGTCTACAGGTCTTTTGAAATAACCCAGTCATAAAAAGAGAAAGAGAAAGAAAGACAGATAGACAGAGATAAGAATTTAAATGAAGAAAGAATGCCTACATTACATATGAGACACCAAAAGGTAACCAAATATTCAAATTTCTGGTGTTCCATAAGGAGAAGACATGGGCAATGGCATTGAAAATCTATTTAACAAAATAATAGCTGAAAACTTTCCAAGTCTTGCAAGAGATATAGACATCCAGATACAGAAAGCTCAGAGATTCCCAAAGATATTGAACTCCAAAAAAGTTAGACTGTCAAAAGTTAAAGACAGATAGATAATTTTTAAAAAGGAAAGAGAAAAGGATCAAGTCATATATAAGGAAACCCCCATCAGACTAGCAGTGGATTTCTTAGTAACAGGCCAGGAGAGAATGGGCAGATATATTCTAGTGCTGAAAGAAAAAAAAAAAACTTCAGGAAAGAATACTATATTTGAAGTTACCCTTCAAAAATAAAGGAGAAATAGTCTTTCCAAGACAAGCAAAAACTAAAGGAATTTACCCCCCCTACACCAGCCCTATAAGAAATGCTTAAAAAAATCCTATATCTGGAAGTGAAAGAATGATAACTGCCATCATGAAAACACGTGAAAATATAAACTAACTGGAAACAGGCAAAAAAAAAAAATGAGAAAAAGCAAGGACTCAAATACATCCACTGCAGAAAACCACCAAACTGCAATGATGAACAGTAAGAGAAAAAAAAAAAAAGAACAAACAATATAAAAAAAAATGTTTAGAGGGAAATTTGTAGCACTAAATACCCACAGGAGAAAGCAAGAAAGATCTAAAATCACAATTAAAAGAACTAGAAAAGCAAGAGCAGAAGACAAGAAATAAGATCAGAGCAGAACTGAAGGAGATAGAGACACAAAAAACTCTTCAAAAAAAATCAATGAATCCTTGAGGTGCTTTTTTGCAAAGATTAACAAACTAGATAGACGGCTAGAAGAAAAAAAGGATCAAATAGACACAATAAAAAGTGAGAAATGGAATATTACCACTGATGCCACAGAAGTACAAACTACCATCAGAGAATACTGTAAACACCTCTACACAAATAACCTAGAAAATCTAGAAGAAATGAATAAATTTCTGGACACATACACCTTCCCAAGACTAAACCAGGAAGGAGTCGAATCCCTGAATAGACCAATAACAAGGTCTGAAATTGAGGCAGTAACTACCCTACCAACCAAGAAAAGC